AATTATTGCACCAACAATAAAATGCTTAAATTCATGCTAGTAAATAGATAAGTTGTTCTTCATTGAAAAATGTACAAACAAAAAGAGCCAAGACGAAAAAAGAAAAAGTAGAACAAATAATTATTAGTTAACTCAGCTCAGCTACCCGAGTATTAACTTGTTTTTAATGTATTATTCTCATTTATGACATATTTTAATTATTCTCATTCGGATTCCCACTTTGATACTTTAATGACATATTCTGTTCTTATAACATGATTGGGAATAGAAGTAGGCTTTGTGGTTTCTCTTCTAAACCACTAACACTCTATGGCAGTGGGTCGGTTAAATTTAATATAAGCGATGCCAAATTAAGTAAAGAGGCTAACTTGCCTGTTGCTTATAAGTTGATTAAAATTAGTAAATTGTTGACTATGAGTCTATGACATTGACATTATGCTAATAAATTTCTTTTCAGAATACGATTTACAACCACATTTATATTAATATAAGCATTCACAATGATATTGTTTTAAAATGAAAGTGGATCCTCAGATAAGAAGAAATATTGTTGTCGGTTTTCACTTTTCCGCAAAAACTCATCTTAAAGACGCCGTCTCTATGTCAATGAATAGGGACGAGAGATATTTTACTCTATTAATAATTTATTTTACGGGTTTATTATTTAATTTATTAAAATTGATGCCATATATAATATTACATAATTTTTTAATTTATTTTTCTTATCTATGTTTGTAGGTTATTCACTGTCTCTCTTCTACATTGAGCCCAATTCACATTGATCTACAACTTAATAAGCATATGTATTTATACCCCTCAACACTCTATACACACATCCTAAAAATATACCTTTTAAACAATAAAAAAATAATTTAAATGATCCTTTCTAAGACGTAAAAAATATACACAATGCTTTTGTTTCTTAAATAGACTATTGTACTTTTAATTTATTTACGAATTGATTAATATTGAGCTAATATATTTCACATTGTTTATGGAGGTGTATTTTGATAACACGCTTAGTTATTTATATTAATAGTAAATTAATATATATAAAAAAAGAATGGATTCGTAGTAATGCAGTCCAAGTGATTTCAATAGCTTTTTCACTTGTTACTTTCTCGAACGAAGTGCATTTCTCCAACTATGACAATTCATCATTTGACTACTATCCTTTTAGAATTTTATCGAAACTAACCCTTTTTTGTTTGTTTGCATTGTATAGATACTTAAAAATTTTAATTTAATTTATAAATAAAAAAATTATAAAAAAATATATAATTTCCTTTATTGATATAATATATCAAAATTTGCCTTTTTTTTATTATAGTTTTTTTTAAATTACCAAAATATGAAAATTTTGATAAAATTACAGAATATATTTTTTTAAAAAAAAAATCACCATTGATAATTTTTTACCACCTTTTTTTAAAAATTGTCAATGATAACTTTTAATTATTTTTTTTACTTTTTTAATATTTTATTCTTTTTTAGCATTTTATTAATTTTTGTATTTTTTGTTTGAAAACTTGCCATTGATAATTTTTAAGTTTCTATCACTTTTTTAATTTTTCATTTATAAACTTTTGTACTTACATAAAAAATTGTCAATAACAATTTTTAAATATTATATTTTTATAATTTTTTAAAAGATATCATATTTTTGTATATGTAATTTCTAAATACCATATTTAAATTAATTTCTCTCAAAATTCAACGTTTTAATTTAATTTAATTTTCAATAATCTTGAATCTTAAAGCCGTAGGTTATAAGTTTAAAAAACATTGACTCATCTCTTAGTAAAGTAAATGTAAATATTTTATAAGTCCTCCTTAAATTTAATTTTTTCTACTTAAAAATGAGATATCTTCTCTGATTCTACAACTTTATCATAAATAATATTTTTAATTTGATATAATACATTAAAATTTAAAATTTAAATCAAATTAAAATTAAAGTTAAGGATTCAATGTTTAAAAAGACTTTAAAAATTAAAAAAATAAGCTTTAAAAAGAATTAAAAATAAAAAAATAATACTTAGTGTAAAATAAGACATGTGACCTAATAAATAAAATAGTAGCTTTTAAAAAAAATTTCGTTCAAATATGAAAATTCAAATTTATAATAAAAATAAATTAACATTTAAAATTATTCTAATAATCCAAAAAATAAAAATGTTAATTTTAAAATATATTTTTTGTATTAAAAATTCAAAAAAGTAATATTATAAATTTGTTTAAGATTGTTAACATTTGTTATAATAATTCTAGCTAAAATTTAACAAAATACTTATATAAAAATTAATATATAAATTTTTAAGTATAAAAATTAATTGGTAAATAAATATCAATTATAAAGATTAAATATAAATTTTAACAAAAATATTATTTTATTAAAAATTTAAAAAAGCAATTTTTCATAAAATATCTTTTTATTTTAATTTTTTCAAATCCTTCTCCAAAATTAAAATGAAAACTTGAATACAAATGTAAAAGAGCATTATGAATAAGTTCAATTGCACTTTTAATTTTTTAACATATATTTATTCAATTTTAGTTTCCTAATTTTCAATTGCACGATTTTAGTTTTTTTTATTTTCATGAAGCAAATTTTATTTATTTGTTAAGCTATCATCTAATTTTTAATTGAGTGCTAACATAGATTATAATTGTGCTAAAGTGTCTAATTATAAGAATTAGAGAGTTAATTAATTTTAATAAAATGACACAAAGATTAGCTAATGTGTTTAAGTTATTTTTGAGTAATATTAAATTATGTTCCAAAATTGAAACCTTTTCTTTCAAAATTAATATCAGTTCAAAATCAAGAAAAATTAGAAAAAGAAATGTGTCTTCGATGAAACAAGAATACTATTGAAAAATTTAGACTAAACTATAGCATTTTCTTCGTTAGAGTGAAAGTATTATGAGAAAATAAAGAATCATTCATTCATAAATTGTAGACAAGAAACTCACTAAAAAGAATAACATTGTCACATCACAATGACTTACCTCCAACTCCTTTATGAAGATTTGCAAATTCTTGTCTTATCTCTAGTTTTTTATTATCTCTTAAATCACTCACTTTCTTGTTCTTCTCCTCTTGTTTGCTATTTTCATCTCTATCATTATTTAACAACCATGATAACTCTCTACCTTAAACGTCGTGTTGAAACAAATCACTTCAAATTTTGTTATTAAATAAGCTAGAATAAGGATCTAAATATGAGGAAACTAGCATTAGCAAGGAGAGTAATATGAGGGAGCTACATTAATAAGGAGAGTAGGAAGTTGAGATTGGACCTAAGCAAGAAGTGGTTATCATTGGAGAAGAAATTATCAGCTAAAATTTTAATGTAAGTAAAGTAGGAAAAAGTTTAGTAATATTGAGACGTGAAAAAAGTACTAAAAGAAAAAAATTGTAGCAAGGCTTCCATTTTCGATGATGTAGAAAAAAAATGAGAAAAGAAAGGAATAGAAGTGTGATGAGGTTGAAAGAGAAGAAAGAGGTTATTTCTCTCAAAAGTTGTGTATTTCACTTCAAACTCTCATTGTTAAAGGTTCAATCATCTCTTTTATTCAAGCTACAATTATATTCATAAAAAAGAAAATTAGATATATCTAAATCAATTGTAAGTCATTTTATAAATATGTAATAATCTTACAAGTGAAATGTGTATTTGCCAAATACAATTATCTGATATGTATAAGTGAATATTATTAATAATTAAAAAATAACTTATTAAGCTAATCATAATTAATAAATAAATAAAATTATGCAATAAAAATTAAATAATATGAAAGTTGAGAAACTAACATATCAATCAAACCTTAAGAATATTATAATCATTGAATTCATTAATATAGGCTATTTTTTAAATAAAAATATATTTTTTTTGACTTAATTATTATTTTTAAATAAATTAATACATTTATGAGATATATCATATGTAATTTAGGACTTAAGAGGTGATAGATACAAGCACAATTAAGTTTTTTCTAATAAAAAATAGTCATTTTTATTAATCTTAATTTTTAAAATGAAATTTAAGTATTTAATAATAATAACTATTTTTAATAAATTTTGAATATTAATAATTAATTAAATTAGGTTTAAAAATTAATATTTGAAAAAAAAATTGGTGAAGTTAAATAGGTCACCCTCACAGCACAGTGTTTGATGAAATTTATTTACCTTTTTTTCGGTTTCGGTAAATTCAATATATATAATATATAACTCACTCTGGGATTTGTCTTTTCCCTCCAACTATGACTTATTTATTTTCATTTTAAGAGGGTATATACCATTTGTCGATTTGGAAGTTGGAACTAAGTAAAATAACTAGCATTAATTTATACCATTTGTTTATCCCAACAACTTCAACTAACAAACCCAACCCATATATCAAAATTTTAAAAATTAAAACAGTTTTTATTAACTATAGACTTTAAAATTAATTTTAAATATTTAAAGGTAAAACTGAAATAAAAAAATCAACTTATTATTATTAATTACTTAGTATGAATTTTAAAGTCTAATATTAATAAATTTGAAATTAAAACAACCAAGACTAATACAATATACAATTATGTTATTAATTTTACGAGTTTTGTTAAAGATATTAATTAAAAAATTAATAAATAAAAAATATTAAAATTGTAATTAACATATATTAAGAATTACCAAAAAAAAATTAATATTATTTTCAGAATTTTTTTAATTTTTATTCTTACCACGAATCTTCATATTTATCTGATTTTATTTGCCATGTTTCATTTTGTTAAAGAAACTTTTAGAGAGGTCAACTAAGAGAAAAGTAAAGAATCAACGTTAATTCGTCATCTTAAACTGGCACCAAATCCAAAAGGTAATACCAATTAACCAATCCTTAAAGTATGGAGAATATATACTTATCATTTCCAATTAACTCAAACATTGTTTGTTTAATTATAATACTTTCCTCACCAGTGAAAGGCTGGTTAAGTGCAATTTTACCTTGCACAAAGGCATAGTAACATCTCGCTAAGACTCTCTCTCTCTCTCTCTGTGTGTGTGTGTGTGTGTGTGTGTTTTTTTTATCCTCTTTTGTCGTTCAATAATATTGTTAATTGTCTGGAAAGTAGCATGTACAGTCCAAAGTTGCAGTCACTTTCTCCATTCTCTACCATTTCCATTTGGCCACTAACACTATATATTCTATTTGCATTATTTGTGCCATTTTTTGTTTGTGACGTGGCATTACTTTAACCAAGAATTATCAAAAAAAGAAAATCAATCAGAACCAAAGCAGTGAAAGAGAGAGACAGTGTGTGAGAGGGGTCACCAGAAAGAAAACAACGGGAAAATTAAAGAAAAAAGAAAAAAAGAAAAAAGATCTCATTGTTTTCCATAATTTTTGTTGAGTAAAGGTACTAGCTTCCTATTGATCCAGGTTCTGCCTCTTACTCCGCCACTGGAACTCACTGAATTAGAGTAGGTGAGCTACTTTTTCATTCCAAATCCTAACTCAAACATAACATGGAACTTGCATCTTTACCCATTTTCTTGGAGGTTCATCTGCAGCTGTGAGAATTTAGGAGATTTAAGTTTTAGAAGGCTATGTCTGTTAGGTGAAGTTGGTTTCTCTCTCTCTCTCTCTCTCTCTTATTGTGAAAAATGAAAACTTGTGTTATTATTATTATTGTCTATTTCAGAAAACAACAAAGTGCTTAAATTGACATTAATTTCTTTTCAACTCCCTTTGAAGGCCAAGTTGCTTTGAGTTTGAGGTGACATTCATATTTGTGGTCTATCAGAATATCTTCCAATATCCGCCTTTTTTTTATTTCAATCTTTAAATTTATTTATTCATCTTTTGGATGCCTCTTATTGATTCAATTTAAAATTTTGGAAACTGGGTATTTATTCTCTTGGCTTCCTCTGAGAACCCAATTCTGATTTCTCTCGTTTTATTGACCCCTTTATCCTATTTTGGTTCCCAAGTCAAAGTCTTCAGCTTGTGGTGATAACATAAGGGGGATTCAGGTTCTGATTCCTGTGTGAGTGTCTTGCAGGTTTAGCATCTTAAGAAGGACATAAAGCAAACAAAGTGTGGTGGGAGCAACTATTGAGCATGGATTGGGACTGGAAAGAGTTTGCTTGGGATCCATGTGGGTTAGAGCTAGCTAACGGTGCCTTGGATGGTCAGAAGAATGAAGCAACTTCAGTGGATTTGAGGCTTGGTGAGATTTCTGAGGAAAAATCAGCACCGGATACTCCGAAGGACCCAAAAGACTCAAAAACTGTGTCATCTCCATCTGGGTCATCAAAAAGATCACGCCTTCAAAATGGATCACAGAACATGTGTTGTTCTGTTGATGGATGCAATTCTGACCTCAGGGATTGCAGAGAGTATCATAGGCGCCATAGGGTGTGTGAAAAGCACTCCAAAACCCCCGTTGTGTTGGTAGGGGGGAAGCAACAGCGGTTCTGCCAGCAATGCAGCAGGTATGAATTGAGTGCTTATGTGGGTGTTGGAGGTTTGAAATTTCTTCAATTATGTTGGTGTAGATGTGTTTTGAGGTTGCTTTTGTAACATGGAATGGTGCCAATTGTTGTAGGTTCCATTCACTTGGGGAGTTTGATGAGGTTAAGAGGAGTTGCAGGAAACGTCTTGATGGGCATAATAGGCGTAGGAGGAAACCTCAGCCACCCTCTCTTTTCATGGCTGCTGAGAAATTCATGTACAATTACAAAGGTTTGTGTTAAGATGGTTTTTTGTATATTGATGTTTAGCTGGATCTCAATTTTGTAATTGTGGAGATTGATATGAAATGAAAAGTAGGACCAGGAAGAAGATATGGTAGGATTAAATCTCACCACCAAACAATAGGTCCTTTATTTTTAAGCTGGTTAGTGATAGAAAGCTCTTTGGCATTAGAATTAGAACTTTGCTGAAAGTCATTTCAAATTTTTATAATGAGCCGAGTTCTGTGAATTGGTTGTGTCATGATAAAGCCAGTGATTGTCTGTTTTGACCTTTACAAGAGACTTAGTCTAGCAGTATGAAATTTTGGTCATACATGGCTCCCTTGGAATTCAACTGCAGGTTCAGTCTGTTGGAGGAAGAGAAAGAGGATTTCTATTTCTTGGCACCCTTGATACAAGTGCAGAATCCCTTATTTAGTTATTTACTGGACCTTAGGTGACCTTATATTATGACTACTATCTAGAACAATTGCTCCTTTAATCCACATCAAGGATGGGATACACACCCACACTTTTCCCTAAATACTTAGTATGCTATTTTTGGGAAATAAATGTTAACTGCTCTACTTTTCATAAGACAAGGAAGTAACTCTTGAAAATTCTACCATGATAAATAGTGGATACATAACCTTTCAATGGCTAAATAAATCATTTTCAGCATGATCTTTGCTAAGGATTACCGCTAAAATCTCTTTTTACTAGTGATTATTTCATGTCTTACACAAGTGCAACTAGTATGAACTTTGACACTGTCTTCCTTTTTACAATCTAGGACCCAGAATCCTGCAATTTGGTAGCCCTCAAACATATGCGAACCCTATTATGAGAAATATGTGGCCTGCCACAGCCAAAACTGGAGCTGAATCGGATTATGATCCTCCTCGGCTATTATACAGAATCGACAAGCATAGGCAGGACAAGGGACATCCTCTTTGGCTAGAAAATGACCCTAAAGTAGTGAATGGCAATGAAGCAATGCATGGAACTCCAATCTGTCCGCCTATTCGTGGCGCCATTGCCCCATCAGCAGGTGGAAAGAGCAGCCGGAAGCTCTCTTCTGATGGAAAACCTGGATCTTTTGACTCAGGTTGTGCTCTCTATCTTCTGTCAACACTTCAATCACAAAGTCCAGAGTTGAGTATGGTGCAATCCAGCATCACCTGTCCAACACAATCTCCACCAGTGGCTGCGCAGAATCAGTATGCCTGCTTAGAAAGGCCAAAAGATAAGCCTAGTGGTCAAGTATTGGTCCTTGATGCAAACACAACCACCCTTCATCGCAGTGGAATGCTTCAAATGGGGCCTGATGGATTGGTTGAAAATGAGGACTCACTAACATTTCCCTCTTTCTGGGAGTAGGTAGCCAAGTGGTTGTCTTTGTTGGGAATTTCATGGATTCAAAAAAACTTTTGTGTGTACTCCAATAATTAAGCTTAGACTTGTTCAAGCTTTGAGTATGTGACACCTTTGTTCCTGTCCATTCAAATTGTGGTAGCACATTTTATTTTGCTTCGGAGGATAAAATGGATTGTATGCCATTAACTATGTCCTCTCAGTTGTCATGAGATCAATTTGAACAGCCCAAGAATTATTTTCTTTAATGAAAGACTTTTAGTTTTAGTTTTATTGAGATTTTGGTTATGGACAGTAATAAATGGCCCGTGATAGATAAGCCCTCCTAATAGAACACAGGACTATATTGTTACCGTTGTGATTGCACTTCTCATTTCTTTTTATTGAACTGTCATTTTTTTTGGTTATATTAATCTGTAGATTTTTTAATCATTTGAAAAATTTTAAATAAGATTTTGTGCTTTAAAAATTGTAATTATGTCTTTAAACTTTTAAATTATTTTTAACTGGATTCTCTCGCGAGGGTTATGCTCAGGACAGGAAACCTAATTTAAAAAATGTTAAATAGTTCAAAAGTTAGGACATTAGTTTAATCATTTAGTGAGTCTTTTAAATATTTGGAAATTTTTAATTATGTCTTTATACTTTACGAACTCTAATAATAATATGGCTAGGAACTTAAATAAAATATATCTTAAAAACTTAGTGACATGTTTATAAATTTGAAAGCATAGAAACTTATTTAAAATTCCTGAGATAGTTTAGGAATTTATAAATTAATTTAACCTTTTGTTTTTCTTATCATCAAATTAGACTTAGTTTAAGTCGATTTAATAATTAGAGTTTGACTTAAGCAGGATAGTTACCTACCTACCTTTAATATGTTAAAACATAATCAAGAGATCTTTTGGGGAAGAAATTAATATGTTACAAGATGCTTGAGATATACGAGAGGAAACCCATGAAATAGTATTTATTTAAACCTTAGTTAGTTACAATTACTGATAAGTGAAGTAATATGGATGATAAAATCAACCAAGTAGGGTCAACACCTTTTTCTTTTGTAGTTTTGGGTGGATGAAAGGTGGCAAATGGTGTCCACTTTTAGAAAGAAATAGAACCAAATGCCCATTCAGATAGCCTTTTCCCCCATAATATGACGAGATAAGAGGAAAAGTTGGTGATAACAGTGTATATCCAATAACAATTGTGGTTTGAAATTGGAAAATAATTCCAAGGCTTTGTCCCCTCTAAAGTGCCTCTGAATCATTCCACCTTATTCTTCGAAGTTACTTAGAGCCTGGCTGTAGAACAATTGAAATCAATTTTGTTAGAATTGAAAATTTATTGATGTCATTTAACGTATTTCAATTTTTGTAACTTTTGTAAAATTAAAATTACAGCTCTCAACGCCAATTCAAACTTGTCCTTAAAATATTTTCACAACATGTTTTTTTTTTTTTTTCTTTTCTTTTCATGATGAGGCTTGAAAATGGGATGTGCATTGTGCAAGTTAGGACAAGGACCCAAGAGCTAGAAAATTGTTGATTTGAAATCTTTCAATGTCATGCTTGTCGGACTGTAATGCTTCAGTTTGCTTGAAATATGGCCTGCAATATCATTGTTGCCGGAAGCAGGATCTGCATTGACACTTGTAGTTTTCAGCAATGTAGAATAATTATTTAGTAGTTGTCCAAGAGGGAGAAGATACCATGATTCACTTTAAAAGTAGATTATGTTATACTCTTTCTTTCGTACAAGGTTAAAATATGAAAGAGACTAGTTGTCATCCTCTATTTCTCTCTCTTCGAAACAACGTTAGGTTCTCTATTCAGAGGGTAAGAGTGAACACAAAAAGGGAAATGAAAATAAAAGAGTTTACGTTTCTTTTTTTGCATACTTAAATCAATTTGATTGGATTAACATACTCTCTTATAGAAATGCCATGAACTTATGTTAACTTCTTTTATATAGATTAACAAATATCTTGCACTTCACTTGCCACCTCACAATAGCCGCAAAGAAACAAGATAATAGTAAATTCATACTTTTTTTCCCAATACGTAAAACTGTATGATCGCATGTAAATGGGCGATGAAGTCTCATAGGAACTGAATGTAAAATTAGATTAATAAATCAACTTAGGAATTAATCTTTAATTTAGATATGAAATAAAAAATTAATAACAACAAGAAGCTTCTAAATTACTTGAAATATTTTTTACTTTTCTCTTTAGTCTATGTTTTCATTATTACTCTTTTAGTCCAATGATTCTCGCATCTTTTGCACCATTCTCTTCGTATAATGTATTCATTTTGTTAGAATTCTTCATAACAGACTCCTTACTTACATTCTCCATTTTACTCTTATGGTTATTTCTTCTTCTGTGATATGTTTTTAACGGAGACCCAATTTGCTTAAGCCCAACAATATCTAGATGCACCTTGTTCTCAAGGTGAAAATTTCAAAATATTGCCTGAATTAGGTCAAATTCCTCCTAAGTACTATCTTCCTTAGGTAATTCCACCCATTTTATCAGAACTTCCCAACGGCCATTTAATAGTTTTCATGCATCTAACACCTCTTCAGGTTTAACATGTAATTCCAATTCCTTCGTTAAAAATAGTGACAATGCTTGATTGGCTTGACTAGTGGGTGGGGCTTTTTAAGTTAAGACACATGAAAACAGGATGCAACCTAGATGATTTCAATAACAATAGCTTATAAACAATGGCTCCTACTCTTTCCACAACCTTAAATGGTCCATAAAATCTAAGGCTCAATTTTTTATTGACCCCTTTTTTCCAATGACTTCAACTTACATGGTCAGGCCTTTAGACACACCATGTCTCCAACCTGAAATTCCACTTATTGCTTCCCCTTATCCGTCTGATCCTTCATTCTCATCTGTGCTTTAATTAAATTATGCTTGAGCTCCTCTATAATAAGGTCCCTAACTATAATAATTGGTCCATCTTAACAACTCTAGTATTGTCCCGAAGTTAAGGAATAACTATAAGGGAATCATCGCCATATAATGCTTTGAAGAGACTCATCTTTATGGAGGCATTGAATGATGAGTTAAACCAAAACTCTCCTAAGGTAGCCATTCATCCATTAACAGGGATGGTCACTAACAAAACACCTTAAGTATGCTTCAATTGTGCAGTTAGTCACTTCTGTCTAGCCATCAGTTTGAGGGTAGTATGCAGAACTGAATCTCATTTTAGTGCTAAAGAAATGAAATAGCTCCTGCCAAAATGAATTAATGAATATTGTCCCTACAGCAAACTATAGAAGTAGGGGACCCATGCAAACGAACAATTTTTTTCACAAACACTGCCACTACCTCCTTATTTGTGTATGGATGAAGTAGAGGAATGAAGTGAGCATACTTGCTTAATCTATCCACCACAACCATAATGGTGTCAGCTTCCTTAGCTTTTAGAAGTCCACCAATAAAGTCCATAGAAATATCTTCTTACAAACCTGACAAGCAACCATAAACTTTTCTACATCTTGTTTCATTCTATTCCAATAAAAACTATTGCCAATCTCTTGTAAGTTCTAGTAACCCAGGAATGGCCACCTTAAGGTGATGCGTGAAATTTTGTCAATAGAAATGGAATTCTAGTAAAATTTTTGGACAATACCAACTGCTGTATATACCACAAACAACCTTGAGAAATTGAATAATTTGGGTGGGAACTTGGATTTAATACTACCTGCTGCATAATTCTCTTCAATAGCTCATCTACCAAAACTTCTTTAGCTGATTCCACTAAATCAGAATTAGTAACCCTAAATATGACCTTATAATTCATTATTCTGGACAAAGCATCAATTGCTTTGTTCTTTAACCTAGGTTTATATTGGATTTCAAAATCAAAACTCATTAACTTGGTTATCCATTTCAACTGCTCCCTGCCAATACCTGTTGTTCCCATAGAAACTTCAACTCCTTTGATTAGTCCTAATAATAAAATAATTACTCAGCAAATATTGGAGCCATTTCTGTACAACAAATACAATTGTCATCAATTCACGCTCATATACTAATTTCACCTTATTTTTGTCTGATAGGGCTTGACTAATGAAAGCCAAAGGTTGACTATATTGCATTAAAATTGCCCCAATTCCATATCTCAACGCATTAGTTTTGACCATAAACGGCAGGTCAAATTTCAACATTACTATGGTCGGCAGAATCTCCATTTTCAACTTCAGTTGCTCGAAAGTTGTTTGTGTCTCCTCTGACCAATTGAACTATTTTTCTTTAATAGATGCGTTAGAGGTTTAGCAATAACCCCATATTTCCTTACAAAATGGCTGTAGTACCCCGTCAAGCCTAAGAAGCCCCTCAAACTTCTAATATCTTTAGGTACCAACCTTTTTTTTTATTATTGCAAACACCTTTGCTAGATCAACAGAAATTCTAGCAACAGAAATCACATGCCCAAGATACTCTAACTGTGTTTTCCAGAACTACACTTACCATTAATCCACAACTCCTGACTTCTCAATAACTGAAGAACTACACTCAAATAATCAATATATGAAGCGTAATATGGACTATACACTAGAATATCATTAAAAAATACCAATACGAACTTACGTAAATATGATTTAAAAATCTGATTCATGAGGGCTTAAAAGGTTGAAAGAGCATTTGTTAACCCGAATGACTTCACCACATACTTGTAGTGCCTTTCATGTGTTTGGAAGGCCATTTTTGAGATATCATCCTCGTTCATATGTATTTGATGGTAGCCCAATTTAAGGTCGAACTTAGGAAAAAACATTGCCCCTTCTAAATCATCCAATAATTCTTTGACCATTGGAATGAGAAATTTGTTTGGAACTGTTATGCTATTAAGAGCACGATAATCTGCATAAAAATGTTAGCTACTATTTTATTTCTTTTTAACTAAAATCAACGGACTAGAATATAGATTGATACTTGGCCTGATCAATTCTGATGCCAACATATCCTTCACAAAATTTTCAATTTCTTCCTTGTGGCAATGTGTATGTCTATACTGGCGAATGTGAGGAATTGGTTCTCCTTCTTTCAAAATGTTAGCATTGTCACATTCCCTCTTTGCTGTAAGGGATATCTCTTCCTTGAACAGTTCACCAAACTTCCTTAATAGTTCCTTCATAACTTCTGGAGCTGCTTTTGACATATGAGTGAGTATTTCAGTAAACCTATACTCATCATTCCCAACTCCACATAGTAAGCCTCTCCCTCACTCCTCAACTCCTTCCTTACAGCTTTTAATGAAGCCACTGTTTGAGACAATTCTACATTGCCCTTTATCTCAATAACTTGCCCATCCTTTTGTACTTCAATTAAGTGCTGTCTCAGATTAGCACTGAACTTACTTAAACTTTTAAGCCATTAATACCTCAAAATTACATCTACCGCAACCAAGTCGAACAAGAAGAAATCCTAAACCACCTTTACATTGGATAGTTCCTACACCACTCCCCTGCAAATACCTTGACTACCTAACTTCTGCCCATCTTCTCCTTCAACAAAATATCCCCTCATAGCCTCTGTCAGAATTTTTAGTTCCTCCACTAGTCTCAAGGACAAAAAAATTAGAAGATGTCCCAAAATCCACCATCACAATAACTTTCTTTTCCAAAATAGTTCTCCATAACTTTAATGAGTTCTTCGAAGTGATCCTTGCAATACTGTCATATTTAGCAAGAGGTTCACTTCTTTCGCTTCTTCTTCCTTTGATAAATGCTTTCTATACTTGGTCCTCCATTGTAATTCATGAATGATAATTAAGATTTTTGAGCAATTCATTGAGAGAATTTATTATTAAGTCTATTTTATTCATATTTCAAGAAAAATGATCAAGAAGTGAGAGCTTAAAGGATATTGGGAATTGAAGCAAGAAAAGAACCTGAGATAACGGGTAAGTACATGGTCGTGTACATGAACGTGTATCTCACTTGTTGCATAAATCAAGCACATAATCAAAACAGAGATATACACGGGAAAGTACACACCCGTGTATATGAGCGTGTATCTAACTGGTCGCGTCAATTGAAGTGCATCATCAAAATCAGAGATGTACGCGTCAAAGTACATGGTCGTATACATGGTCGTATACATGGGTGTATACTTTTCAAGAAAGCTATGAAGGGCAATTGTTAGATACCAGAGATATACACGGCCAAAGTACATGGTTGTGTACATGGGTGTGTACTTTGAACGTGCGTCAAAATTTAAACTTCTGCGAGAAGATGAGCCCTTGGATGACTCATATAAAAGGGAACTTGGCACAAAAACCTAAGGGAGGCAGTTCTGGAAAAGGACGAAGTCGGTGACGGTTGGAGAATAGAATCAAGTTCTTTAATTCATCTCTTTTGTAATTTTAGTTTCAAGATGTTTAGGTTCTAATTTTCCTTTGAGTATTTAGACGTAATGAATCTTATGTGACCAAACCTTCTGAAATTTTTCTTAATGGTATTTCATGTTTTCTTCTCTTGGGTTTAATTGAGTAGTATCAATTGTCTTCCATCTTATTTTCTTGTTTGAATTTGAGTAAAATTCCTGCATGAACATTGCTCAATTAATAGGACTTGAATGTATTTCTAGAGATAGAAAGACATAAGCTTTCTGTATTAGGAATAACTCTAATTATAGAATTCATAATGAACTTAATGCAACCTAAGGGTATTAATTAAGGAAAAGATTCTGATTGATCAACCGAGGGTTAGGAATCATTATCCTTGAGAAAGATATTGATTTAATTCAGAATTTCTTGCAGTGATAAGGGTTTAGAACTAAATAGTTGAAGGAAAATTTCAGTTATTTAGACACTTAAGAGGATTTACAGTCTAAATATTCGCCTATTTCCCTTGAATACCTTTAGTCTTACTTTTCTATAATTTATTATCATAAGAAATATGTTCCTTTTAATTTATTATTCTTCTATTTTTAGCAATTTTATCAACAAAATTTATTTCTCATATTCATTAACAATTGCGCAATTAAGGAAGTAATTCTTAATAACAATTCTTGTGGATACAACACTTGGTACTCTATTTTTCATAATATTACTCTGACAACGGGGACACTTGCCCAGTAATCAGTTTTTACACACCAAGTTTTTGGCGCCGTTGTCGGGGACTGATTAATTATGATTCCTTTGATTTCGTATTTACTAATTTTCTTTATTTCTTTAGTTTTGAATTAACTTTCCTATTTTGCTTTCATTCTTTTTAGGACCTGATTTTTCTGGTGTATGACCAGAACCCGTTCTATAGCACTGTTTGAAGAACTATTTGAATTTGACCCAAAGATAGAAAGAACTTTGCGAAAAATTCAAAGAGAGAGGCGACTGCTAGTACAGAGGGAAAACGCACAAACCTACATGGAAGGAATGACAAATAATGAAGAGCAACCAAGGACCATGTCCGATTATGCTCGTCCATCATTAACTAGGACATAATCTAGCATTGTCCGTCCGGATGTGCAGGAAAATTTTGAAATAAAGTCCAATGTCATTCAGATGGTTCAACATTTTGTTCAATTTGATGGGTTGCAAGATGAAGACTCCAATGCTCACATCGCTAATTTTCTGGAGATCTGTGATACATTCAAGATAAATGGAGCTACTGATTATGCAATCCGCTTGAAGCTATTTCCATTCTCTCTCAGGAGCAGAGCAAAACAGTGGTTGAACTCTCTCCCGCGAGGATCTATCACTTCATGGGAGGCCATGGCAGAAAAGTTCTTAGCAAAATATTTCCTTCCCGCAAAAACTGCCAAGATGCGGAATGATATCTCTTCCTTCTACCAACTGGAGTCAGAGACTTTATATGATACGTGGGAAAGGTTTAAGGAGTTGCTATGAAAGTACCCACATCATGGGATTCGAACCTTCTACAATAGGTTGAACCCAACCACAAGACAAATGATAGATGCTGCAGCTAGGGGCACTTTGAATAGCAAAACACCAAGGGCTGCACAAGAACTGTTTGAAGAAATGGCAATGAACAACTATCAATGGAGCTCCACTCGATCTAAACCTGCAAAATCTGCTGGGATCTATAGTCTTGATGCAGTAACGTCCTTGGCAAAGTAAGTTGAAGCCTTAGGGAAGAAAATTGATGGTTTATCGGTCAGTTGCTCTGGTAATGAGATGTGATATTTGTGGAGGAGGCCACCCTAATCATGAGTGTCAAGCTACTGAAGAAGAGCATGCCAATGTGATAGGAAATAGACCACCTTACCAAAATTATAATGGCATAAATAATCCGGGCTGGAGGAATTATGCAAATCCACCATGGAACAACAACCAACAGCCAATGCAGAACAACACACTCGTAGGATTTTAACAAGCTTCACATCCACCACCACCCCAACTGAAAAGAAGTCAAACCTTGAGGAGTTGATGACCAAATTTATTCAAACTTCAGAATCTCAGTTCCAATCCACCGAGACAGCACTAAGAAATCAACAAACCTCTATCCATAATCTAGAGAATCAGTTGGGTCAAATTTCTAGACTCCTCTCAGAAAGACCCCACGGGAGCTTGCCTAGCAATACTGAGACTAATCCTAAGGAGTAGGTCAAGGCAGTAACATTAAGGAGTGACAAAACATTACAAGAGAAGGGGAAACAAGAAGTAGAGAAAGCTGCAGTTGAAGAGGAAGATAAAGGTCAAGAGGAGACTGTGGAAGAACCTCCTGCTGTGAAAGAATTCACACCTTCACTCCCCTACCCAGCAAGATTGAAAAAGGACAAGGATGATGAACAATTTGGTAAATTTCTATCCTTATTTCGTCAGCTTCATATCAATTTACCATTTGTTGATGCTTTAGCACAGATGCCCAAATACGCAAAATTTCTGAAGAATCTACTGTCCAACAAGAAGAAGCTGGAGGAGTTGGCCACGGTAACTCTAATTGAAGAATGTTCAGCAATCTTGCAAAACAAGATACCTGAAAAATTGAAGAATCTAGGGAGTTTTACTCTTCCTTGTCTCATTGGTAGATTGATAGTTGATAGGGCTTTAGCTGATCTAGGTGCTAGCATCAATTTGATGTCATATTCTGTTTTTAAGAAATTAGGTTTGGGAGAACCTAGGCCAACTAGGATGAGTATTCAATTAGCTGATAGGTCAGTTAAATATCCTAGGAGTATCATTGAAGACGTGCTTGTAAAAATAGACAAATTTATTTTTCCTGTTGATTTTGTGATTCTTGATATGGATGAGGATACTGAAGTCCCCTTGATCTTAGGTCGTCCCTTTTTAGCTACTGCGAAAGCCATAATTGATGTGAGTGATAGAAAGTTAATTTTGAGAGTAAGGGATGAAAAAGTCACTTTCAAAATTTCTGAAGTAATGAAAAAGTCCTTAAAACATGATGATTCTTGTTTCTTCCTTAATGTAATTGATGACTTTATTTCTAATTGTGCACAAGAATTCTTGATGTTGGACCCATTGGAAAAGAGCTTAGTTCATGAAGAAGGAAAAGATGACATGAGCATGCTAACTCGAGAGTAGTGGTGTCATTTAGAAGCCACTAAGCCATTATGGAGAAAGAGAGACTTCGAAGTTTTGGAGTAGAAATCAGAGAAGCAACTCAACCCATCCATTAATGAACCACCAGATGAAAATTTGAAGGTCTACCATGATAAAAAAATTGAGGTAAATTATTTCAAAAAGGTGACTTAGTACTGTTGTACAACTCTCGCATCAAATTATTCCCAAGTAAACTCAAATCCCTTTGGTTTGGACCGTTTATTGTGCATAAGGTATTTCCTTATGGGATAATTGAATTAACTCATTCAGAAAAAGAAAATTTTAAGGTGAATGGACATAGGCTGAAACTGTACCAAGGGGGTCAATTGCAAACTTTTGCAAATGAGGAGTTTAAACTCCTCCATGTTTGATCGCGAGTGTCGCTCTCGGACAAATTAATAAAAATTGAATTGCATAAAAATTATGTAGTAAGAGGTGCAATCCAAGTCGTCTCCCAACGATGATAACGTTATATGATTATAAAATTTTTTAGAGGGAGTTTGATTTATAGAATAACTAATTAGAATCAAAAGTTAAAAATAATTAAAAACTCTAATCCAAGAATTTAGAAGAACTACGACCACTCTATCACCGGATTCCAAGAAGATGCATCCAACAACAAATTAGTGATTAACATTAAATTCGAATGAAACCTCAATTCAAATTAAGCATTCACACGAGAACTCTCATGCATTCGATTAACATACAATTCGCTCAAAATTCAGAAACCTCTAGAACCTAATCGATTTGTGTTAATTTAATTCACCAATGCCATTAATCTTAGATCTCAAACCTGAAAATCTAATTCACGTTTCTTAAAACTGAATTACATACATCAATTGAATAATACGTAATCAACCAGATGCATAATCATCAATCCAAACGAATAACTTCAATTCAAAAATATAATTAGCAAAAGGAGAAAATAAGGAAGAGATGAAACCGAATTTGTTATTGAATTTATGCTAATGTGAGACCAATCCTCAAGAGTGTCACGTCCCTTTTAATCTTTGAATTAGATGGAAATCTAATCCTCCATTAATGGAGGAAAACAACAAGTCATAAAGGTGAGAGGGGCTAAGAGAGAGAGAGAGAGAGAGAGAGAGAGAGAGAGAAGAGAAGAGAAGACGAGCCAAAAAAATTAAAATTTAAAATTTAAAAATTCTGTTCGTCACTTTGTTCCATTTTTTGGGCTATGAAAATGGCCTCTTTTTGGTTCGTGGCCTAAAGGACAATTGTAGCCTTGGATGTTAGCTTCAAAACGCCACTGGAATGGGCTTAATCGGATATCTGTGGACTGAGATATGACCCAAATACTGCACCTTACTCAGAATCCGCGACTGCAGCGTTTTGACTTTTTTCAGGCCTAATTTCAGCTTCTTATCATCAGAATTGGTTTCTGAGCTCTTCATAAGAATTGTGCGCCTTTCTCTGAGCTTTCCTACAAATCAAGAATCACAATGAAATGAGTTCTACAACTCAAGATATGTTCCAGAAACCAAAACAGTATCAGAATTTACCAAATACTGAAAAAATTAAATAAAGCCCAAATAAAATTCAAACATCATAAAATGATTCAATTCAAACTAATTAGGCACAAAAGAGGATTAATGAGTTAGGAATGAAAGGAAATAAGGTTATAAAAATCCAATTGATCAATGTTAAATGTTGAATTACATTGAATAATTTAGGTTAGGTAAGTTTAGTTTATTTTAATTTAGTTATTTATTTGCTCATTTATTTATACTTTGAATAAGCGTACTCGCCTCCAGCATGAACCTCATCTCCTTCTGACCACTTTCTTAGTAAAGATGATGAAGAATCAGATAATGCTAGTGCATCAATTTAGTCTGCAATTAGGATAGTCTTAGTTGTTGGATTTCTTTTACTTATGTTATTTTTAGAATTTAAATTGCTCTTGTTTCTTTATTGCTTTTGTTTCTTTATTGCGTTATTTTGATTGTTCCTCTCCTTTTGTCATTTTGAACTGAGATGATTTCCCTATAAATTCACTTTGGTCAGGTTTCTTCTTCATTTGAATCTCAGATTAGCTGTGACTCCCACCACTCTTTGCTTATTTCTATTGTTTTTCAGGAAAGTTTCAGTTTGCACTTTAGTTCTTATATTTGATTGAGGACAATGCAAATCTTACAGTGTGGGGTGGATACTTATAAATGTCTGAACTGAATTTTTGTTTTGTTCTCGAGCAAATATTGAGCCAGTTTTTCCTTTGCATTAGAGATGATATTCCTGGATAGTTTATATAAATAAAATGTTTCGTTGAAAAAAAAAAAAAGAAAGATCATATGCAGTTATATTGATTATTTGAATTATGTTTTTAATTATTTCTCGATTAAAGTATCATAAGACTTTTCTGATTTGAGGACCTTGAATCTATGCCAAATGTTTAAGAATATATGCAATTAATAGAATAATTAATATCTAAAAAAAATTAGGGCTCTGCTAAAAAATAAAAGAACATGCCATAAAAGCATATCTAGTTGAATGTGGATTGCAAGCAATGTCCGGATACCACATTCTAGAACCCTGAAATTGTTTGAGGTACTGATGTGGAAAGCAAGGGATGGAATTTCCATTAATAACTTGTGCTAATTGGGATGGAGCATAAGATGCACCCTGTTAGTCGATCATGGCTCAAAGTGAAGAAAATTAAATAACACCTTGTGGAAGAATTCAAAGTTTTGACTGTGATTTTTAAGAACTAATGGCATAAAGGTTGTTATTCAGTTCTGTCTGAAGTTACAAAGGTTGAGAGCAAAAGATGGCACAATTTGATGTTTAAGAATTATTGTCCCTCTAAAAATTTGAAAAAAATAAAATAAAATAACAATAATAAAAATTTAGGAATTTGATTCTTTGTTGTCAAAGGTAAATTTAACCCATTTCTTTGCTTGGAGATAAGTAATCCTTCAAGTTCGGGAGAATTTGATAAATGCTTTCTATACTTGATCCTACATTGTAATTCATGAATGATAATTGAGATTTTTGAGCAATTCATTGAGAAAATTTACTATTAAGTCTATTTAATTCATATTTCAGGAAAAAGGATCAATAAGTGAGAGCTTAAAAGATATTGGAAATTGAAGCAACGGGCAAGTACATGGCCGTGTACATGAACGTGTATCTCACTGGTTGCATAAATTAAGCACATAATCAAAACAGAGATATACACAAAAAAGTACACGCCCGTGTATATGAGCGTATATCTAATTGGTCGCGTCAATTGAAGTACATCATCAAAACCAGAGATGTACACGATCAAAGTACATGGCTGTGTACATGGGCGTGTACTTCTTAGAAAAGTTGTGAAGGGAAATTCTTAGAGGCTAGAGATGTACACAGTCAAAGTACATGGGCGTGTACTTTTCAAGAAAGCTATGAAGGGCAATTGTTAGATACCAGAGTTGTACACGGCCAAAGTACATGGCCGTGTACATGGACTTGTACTTTGAACGTGCGTCAGAATTTAAACTTCTGCGAAAAGATGAGCCCTTGGACGACTCATATAAAAGGGAACTTGGCATAGAAACCTAAGGGAGACAGTTCTGGGGAAAGACAAAGTTGGTGATGGCTGGAGAATGGAATCAAGTTCTTTAATTCATCTCTTTTGTAATTTTAGTTTCAAGATGTTTAGGTTCTAATTTTTCTTTGAGTATCTAGACATAATGAATCTTATGTGACCAAAACTTCTGGAATTCTTCTTAATGCTATTTCATGTTTTCTTCTCTTGGGTTTAATTGAGTAGTATCAATTGTCTTCCATCTTATTTTCTTGTTTGAATTTGAGTAAAATTTCTGCATGAAATTAACATTGCTCAATTAAAAGGACTTGAATATATTTCTAGAGATAGAAAGACGTAAGTTTTCTGTATTAGGAAGAACTCTAATTATGTAATTCATAATGAACTTAATGCAACCTAGGGGTATTAATTAAGGAAGAGATTTTGATTGATCAACCGAGGGTTAGGAATCATTATCCTTGATAAAGGTATTGGTTTAATTCAGAATTTCTTGCAACGATAAGGGTTTAGAACTAAATAGTTGAAGAAGAATTTTAGTTATTTGGACACTTAGGAAAATTTACAGTCTAGATATTCACCTATTTCCCTTGAATACCTTTAGTCTTACTTTTCTATAATTTATTATCATAAGAAATTTGTTCCTTTTAATTTATTATTTTTCTATTTTTAGCAATTTTATCAACAAAATTTATTTTTCATATTCATTAACAATTGCGCAATTAAGGAAGTAATTCCTAATAACAGTCCCTGTGGATACGACACTTGGTACTCTATTTTTCATAATATTACTCTGACAACGGGGACAATTGCCCAGTAATCGATTTTTACACACCAAGGTCATCGAGTTTTTGCCATGGTCCTCATCCTCCTCTCCCAGCAAGATCACATGGAGCTACTTGTTGTGACAAATGTGGCCTAGTGTAAATTTGTTGTCAAAACGAAAACACAGTCCTCTCTGTCTCTTCTCATTTTCTTCTTCTCCGTCAACCTCTTGAACTCTAAGCCTCTGCGATGCAAACTCGTTGCAGAAGAGTTGTGTGGGTTATTATAGGTCCCTTGGGTTTTAACTTGACTCCCACCGGGATGTGCTAGTGTTCGTTGTGCCAACTCTACTTAATAGCTTCTTAGGCTCCAACTTTACTAGCCAACTTTGCTTAATAGAAGTCAGTCCACTTCACCTAAAGGATAGTTCCTAACACACTATTTTTTTTTTCTTCAACCTTCTATGCCAGCTCCATGATCACGCTCAAGTCCTCTAAGTCCCTCAGTCTTACTTCTACCTTGATTTTGTCCTTCAAGCCATTTAGGAATGCCCCAATCATAAACTACCTCAAACCTTTCTATCATTACCCTCATCATATCATCAATTTGCCTCTAGAACTCCTCTTGAATGGAAGTTTGCATTCCCTCCAACTAACGTTTGACACTCTTCAACTGATTCTTCGTTCTGGTAGATACTATCTGACGCTCCTAGGATCAAGAGCTCTTATACCAACTTGATAGGAATTGAATGCAAAATTGGATTAATAAACCAACTTAAGAATTAATCCTCAATTTACACACGAAATAGAAAATTGATAACAATAAGAACAAGAAAGCTATTGAGAAAGGGGTATTTCTCCACCCTGTGGCAGCAGCCACTCCCAAATTACCTGAAATATTTCCTACCTTCCCCCTTCATCCATCCTATCATATTACCCCTCCACTCGACTAGTTGGAACATCTTTCACACTATTCTCTTCGTGCCATGTATTTAGTTTGTTAGAATTTCTCATAATTGACTCTTTACTTACATTCTTCGTCTTACCTTTATCGTTTTTTCTCCTTCTCAATATATCCTTAATGAAGGCTCAATTTGTTTAGGCCAACAAAATCAAATAGAGATATTTTATTTTATAAACAATTAAATCATAATTTTATCTAAATCATATGCTTAGGAAATTTCAGAAAAAACTTTAACCATCTCAATTACAAGGATCCTTTGTCCATGCATGTAAATGTATAAAAAAAATATTTAAAATTTTATAATAATCGTAATTCGTACATAAATTTAAAGAATTAAATATGAAAAATAATACTCAAATAGCGATATACAATGAGAACTTTATTATTTGACTTTATTTCGCACTTAGTGAGAGACAATATCATGAAATACCTTGAAACCTCTTTTTTTTTTTAAAAGACCTTTAATTGCTGTTTTACTTTTTATACTTTAACTTTTGCGTGATTTGGGTAATTTTAATTATTCATATATAATTTTTTTAGTTTTTTAATTGTTTAAATTAAGTCTCTTATCTCAATATTTCATCTAATAATTAATACAAACATAACAATCATGTAATAAATAATATATTATTGATGTATACAAAATTTAAAAGAATATATATATATATATATATATATATATATAATGAAAATAAAAAAAACTTTTATCGTATTTGATTTAGTATTTTTACTATACTTTTATTAATTATTGAATAAAGTTTTGAGGTAGAGCTAAATTTAAATAATTTAAAAAAATTGAAAAGGGTAAGTACTAGTAATTAAAATTAAGAGAACTAAATTTGCATGGAAAAATTATATTTAAGCCTATGCATCTGAAAGTTACAGCTAATTAAAAAGAAAATCAGTTTTGGTGCTTAAGTGAAATATTTACACTCGTACAAGTAGTTGTCACATTATATAATGAATTAAACACAACATACAATTATTAGTATAATCAAGCCACATACTAATGTGTCCAACATCAACATTAAACTAAAAAACAGTTCCGTTCCATCAATGAATTGACCAAAGGTATGGATCAGAATACACCAATAATTGAAGGCATATTTTCATTCAGGAATATCCAAAAGGTGACCTATATAATTCGAGCTAAACAGAAGGTCGTTGCCGGTTGCTCCAGTAACATTAATTCATAATTCAAATAACCCATTTTTAATCTTAGAAGTTTGCCCTAGTGGTAGACAATTGGTACTAACTAACCAACAATGATCTCACCAAGAGAAAAAATATATTATGTAGTAATGCAATACTATATTTTGTCAAAGTTATGAATGATTAGGCCTTGTTTGTTTTACACTTAAAATAATAATCTTTACACTTTTTAACAAATAAATTATTCTAAGAACAATATTTTAAATTTATTAATATATGTGCTTTTATAAGATAATTTTAAATCATTCTACCTTTTATTCTTACAAGTCTTTTTATCTACAAAATAAAAAATTATTTGTTTATATTTTAAAATAAAAAATATATTTTTTAATAGGAATTGTTTTACCAAGTAAAGAAAATATTGTAAAAATATAACAAAGTGCAACTCTATATTGATTGTACATGATTGATTTTGTGTTGATTTTGACGTTAAGGCATAAGCTTCATTTTAAAACATTCATTGAGCATTGTTATTTATCACAATTATAAACACACACACACACACACACACGCTCAATAGTTTAAACTAACGAGACACTTCATAAATTTATGCAACAAAGGTTAAACAATTCTTCAAGAAAAAACTTAAGAAAATGAGACCTCAACTTAAAGATACATTTGGATATCCAACTTATTTAAGAGTTTATTTAATAAATTATTTTTCAATTATGATTCATACCATAAATTCAACAATGAAACTTATTAAAATAAGTTGAAAATATATTATTTTAATAAGTTATACCCTGTGTCCAGTAATGGTAATTAAAAAACTTGTTAAAATAAAATAAAAATAACTTATAAAAGTCATAAGCTATTTTTTTTTTATAAATTCTTTTAAAAATTCTTTAATGATGTTAAGAATAAATATCGCTCGAGTTACATTAAACAGAGTAAGACCCAGTTCAACCCACTCATAAACAGCACGCGGAAAAGATTTGGGAAATTACAAAACAAAAAATAAATAAATATTATAAAATTATATTATACCCTTTCAAGTTTACAAGTACCATGTAATAAGCACCATAATTCCATAAACCAAATCCATGCCAACGAGTCACAACTGACGTGGAATATGAGTGCACGATAAGGTAAGTTGCTACCCCCAACTCAGCCTTTTTGCTTTCCCCTATGTCCTTGCATTACATAAATCATTCATTGCATAAATGAAAATCAAAGTCTCAATCCTAATACTTCTCCTAAAGCAGGAATTACTAATACATAGGCCCTAAACCCATTAAATATGTCAATATGTCAAAATTTACATTTCATCACAGGCAAATAGTTAACTTTAGACAAGTCTCATCTCTCTATGTAATGTTTTATTAATCCAAATTCAGTCTATGATCCTTGAATTATTAATTTATTTTGGTGAGGATGCATGGGCACTTCCGTTTGAGCCAACAAATAATTTTATTTTATTTTATAAAAAAGTGCTATCTTTTTAGAGAAATCCGGGTAGAATGATGGCGTTGGATTCATAAAGATTAAAGTAGGTTAAATCCTTATCCAATAGGTCCCAGTACCAATACTATAAAATTCTTAAAGGGGTCCCTGTGGTTTCAATAAAAATCAATTTGGGCCTCAATCCACTCTACTGCTTCAGCCACGTGGGAACCCAGTTAACATTTTTTACAAATAATAACGACCAAATTAAAAATTTTAAATAACAAACCTATCTGAATTTCCTCAAAAAATGAACACAGGCCCACAAAATAATTTAACCTTTCCTTGTCTAGAGAAGAAAATCCGTGTGATACACACCCCACCACACTCTAGAACAAAAGAAAAACAGAAGAAAAAATTAAGTAAATTAGGCTATGCACCGAAAAAGGATTTTCCTTATATGATGTAAACTTTCAGGTCAAATATAAATCACCACACAGTATCGACAAAAATATTGCACACCAAACGATAACATTTTTTATTTTAAGAAAGGTTTCAGCCAAATAGTTTCTTAGCAGTCAAATCATGGAAATGCGCTAAAAACTGCGATTGTGGAATAACCATAGCTGTCATGTTATTGCTAAATATGTATACCAATATTTGTGAGTTATATGAACAGACATGGATGGAGGATTCATTTTAGTAAAAAACAAAAACATGATTCCATTCAAAGACAGAGAGAGAAATACAGAGAAACAACGAAATTGCCGCACTAAACATTCCCATCACCTGCATAAACATTAATGTTTGTTGTCCTTAGGAATCTCTTTTGGAGGAACCTTTGATTCCAGTTCTTTAGTAGACTTCTCCATTGCTCTGAGAGGAAGGCAAAAAATTATATTACAATCTACTTAATAGTAAGCATGATACTATTTGGGGAGAGGGGCAGAAGTAAAGCAAAATAGAACAGACATGCATAGTAATCATAATCAAATGATACTTTCAAAGACCGTAATCATGGCAAACCAAGAGTCCCATCCAAGAATTCATGATTAGCTCCCCTGGGTTAGGAATTTAAAAATTTAGAGAGGGAGGAAGGAATTCAGGGGAATCATTCTTCCTCAATTGAATATTTTGATACCCTTTAAATTGAGAGCTAATGAGTAATGGTAGCTTTAATTTTTATTAAAGAATTGCAATTTATCATTTATTCCCTAAATTGTTTTCATTTAAAATTTCATGCCAATCATATTGAAATTTTACACACAATCCTTTTTCTCTTTCATCTTCACTTGTCAATCATCCAAACATAGGAAATGCAACTCTTTTATATTCAAGCCATTCCCCTTCGATTTATCCTTTCTCATCCCCTCCTCTCTACAAAGCATTAAGACATAAGTAATTCAAAAAGTGGGATAACTACGACAGAGCTTCTATCTTTATAACTATACCATGATTTCAATAGGTTGGTGTTAAACCAACCTAATCCCCATGCACATCTTGCAACATTCATTCCCATTAAATATTATAATTATTTAGTATTAGCCCCCTAAAAAGTTAAACAATTTGTCAAAGGAACTAAAACATTCTTGGTTTAAAAGTTGATCATAAATAGTTGCCACAGAAGTAATCGTGAAGCTTTATATCCCTCATCTCTCCTGGTTTGCTTTATATTTAGAAAGGAATGGAAGGAAGTATCCAATTATATAAATAAGTAACTACGTACAAAAATGTAATGAAAGAATTCAAAATGCAGCATTGTGCAATTAGACTCAAAAAAAGGAACAAGCAATCCATTTCCAACCAAAAGTCATCACATTATGAGAAGAAAATGTTCAAAGCATACATTTTTTAAGGGTTTACTCAATGAACTAGAAGATCATACAGAAAATAGTACTCCTAATACTACTAATTCATCAACCAACCCAATAAATCTAAATGAAGGACTAACCAAGTTTAGTTAATATTTTGGATGGGCTATTTTTTTTCTAAAAAAATGGATTGACCCAACCAACTGCAGTTGTTTAGTTTCCTTTCAGTAAAGCAGAAAAGGTTGCACGGCTTACAGGATTCTTCCACAAAATTTTGTGATTCATTATTAAATCTCTATCAATTAATGATGAGGGAATGGGGCACCTTATTAAGCTCATAATATCTCTTTCTTTGATTACAATAGATAAAGGGGAGATCATTCCAGAAACATACTGAAAAGATAAAGCTACCTTCAAACAACTGTGGCCAACAACTAACATCATAAATCGGAAATAGAAGAGCTTTTGTCATTTTCATCGTCCTATTTCGATATTTCATGTTTTCATCTCGATTTAATATTAGAGTAATAAATGAACACCATATTTCATCGTTAATATTGCATTTTTGAAATACTAAGAACATGAAATAATTCTAAATTTTGGGCCAAATGAACAAATGCATTCCTCCAGTCAGTGGGTCACACTAACACCTTGAAATTCGTTCATATCACCCAAAACAACTTCAGCAGCATATCAATCACAAGACTAAGGCATCCTGCATCCTTTTACATGACTACCTTATAAATATAAAGTGAAACAATACATCATGTGCATTCTTCACACCAACCGCACAAGTCAGAGAGGAGAGATAAGAAAAAGAAAAAGAACAAGCTATCTTCAGCACAACGTCAGCTGTATAAATCTATCTAGCAATACAAATTTTCTAGTGCCACATGGTATATACACTAGTTACAAGCTCTATCATATGCATATAAAAAGGATTTCTGCGCAATAAAACAAGTGCCTCGCATGAAGTTACTAGGTTAGCAGTGCTCTCTGTATGCAGTAAAAATATGGGTACATTGCATACCACTTTACTAAGTATGCAGTACGCTGCTACGCCAGCGGTATACTTGGTAAGCTAATGGAGTCATAGTACATTTTTTATAGTTGCTTCTATATCCGATCGTAGATGCTTATGAACAAAGTTAAAGCCTCATAATCGAAGGGTTTCTTTTTCTCATATTCTCACACCCATCAGAACCAGAAAAAACAAAGGACAAAACTCCAATAACGTGAGTCTGTGCGGACCTTTATTATGAAAATTACAGAAGTGAAACTTCAATTTTAATTGGAGAACAACACAAAAAAACCTATTTTACAGCACCTAAGTTTTATTTAAAATGAAACTCAAGGAACTATAAAGTAAAAAATTGAGTGAGCACGTCTAAACCAAGCACGTGGTATATAGCTAACACATTAAAAGCACCATCGAAATGAACCTCCATTGAAGAACATATAGAGCAAAATATGTTTACACTACCGAACAAACATGCTTACCTGAAAATCAAAACCCCTAAAATGTTCTAATTAATAGTCACTGTCCAATCTCATAATTAACAATTTTCCTCCTCCATATCTCACCTTCCCATTCCTACATGTACAAAACTCAAAAACAAAAGTTAAAAGAAAATTAAAAAGGGGGGGGGGGTGGCATAGCTCAATCCATAAACAGTGAAAATCAAAGTAGCTGCAACACCCAAGACTAAAACTTTCACACAGATAGGAAGATAGATAGAGAAGAGGACTCACTTGGAAGAAGTGGCGGTTTCTTCTTCGAGCCAGTGGCGAATGTGTTTGACGTTGCGCCTGAAGATCGACGCAGATTGCTTCACATCACTTCTCAGAAGAAGAACAACGGCGCTCACACCGGCCACCGTCAGCACAAAATTGGTTAACCCCATGCTTGATAATTCCTCTTAGCTTGGCTTCCCATGATCCAACTCAGCTTGTTCCCACTGTCAAATGGGGGTTTCCTTCCGATTACGGATCCTAAGCGGGTCGCCCCGCCCCGCCCAGTTTTAATCCGTAATTGTTTATATATAGAAAGAGAGAAAAAAAAAAAACCTTTAATTTCTTTAACTTTTATTATATTTTTCAAAAAGTTTTACTAAAATCTTCCCAAGAAATGACTATTTGCATATTCTTTCTTTTTTTACTATTTGCACTACTCTTTCATTGTTATTTTTACAATTTAATTTTTAGAAGGTATAAAAATATTAAACTAATTTACAAAAATTAACTTAAAAAAATGACAAGAAAACAGTGGTGCAAAAGGTAATGTTTTCCTTCACGAGTACTTGGTGATAGATGGAGGAAGTAGAGATGGAAAAGAGAAAAGAATAGTTTTGAAAATGGATGAAGAGAAAGCTTATTCTATTTACATCATTATTCACTGCATTTTTTAAAAAGAAAATTAAAAAATTAAGAAATGACGCTAAAAGAAAAAACCTTATTGCAGTATGAAGTTTGAAAAACCTTATTTATTTTTTAAATTTGAATGTAACAATTATGATTCAAATAAAATTGAAGTATGATTTTTTAGGTATTTTAGTATTATTTTTAATCAAAATTAAAATTTTATTTTAATAATATATAAAATTTAATATTCTCATAATTTATTAAAATAAAACTTTAATTTTAATTAAAACGCACTATTAAAAATACTTAGAAACATATACTTTAATTTTTTTCTTTGACATTAGTAGTTGTATAAAAAATATGGTGAGTTTGTACTTGCTGCACTAAAAATCTTAATATTTGATTGAAACTAATTATTAAATTACCTTTTAAATTGATTAAATTTGTGTTCTTTCTATTGATAGTTTGAATATTATTGAAAATTTACATATTTTTAGTAATTAAATTATTATTTTATTATAAAAGTTGTTAGCGTTGTTAATTTGATTTGTTTAACTTGACTTATTTCAGGGTAACAAATTAAAGTACTTGTAAACTTAAAAGAGTATTTTATATTTTTTTCCTAATTGCAATTTTTCTAATATTTTAAAAATTAAAAAGTAAATATTTTTTAAATTAAACCATTAACTCTACTGTTTATTAGTATAAAATTAGTAGTGATGATTGTTTTTCATGTGTAAGAGAAGGTATTAAATCTTCTCAATTGTAAAATGTGCAACAAGTTTTACCATAAATTGGATTATATAAGGTTATAAAGCTTAGGTGAACAATTTTCTTTGCAATACGTTCTTTTAAAAAAAAATATTTATTTTAATATATATTAAAGAACAAATATTACATTAATAATTTTTTTAACAAATACTAAAATTTGTATCTAATAAATTTGAAACATAATTAAAATAAATATTCTAATCAGCCTCTAAATTTTTCGAACTTTCTTAAAAAAGTTGTGTAGTTCTAATTACAATTATTTCAATTATCCTTGATATCATAATTTTTATTATTTTTTAAACTATGAGCATCTTTCCGTTGAGATAATTTTGTTAAGTAGAACAATCTTATCTACACGCTTAGTAATGTTGATATTATGATTTAAAATTAAATATTAAATTTTTAATAACTTATATTATAAAATAAATCAATAATTTAAATTTTGTAAATAATAATTTATTTAAAATAAATATTGCTTACAAAATTATATAACCAATTATGTGCAATGGAGAGCTCGAACAGTTTTATTATTTAAAACTCGAGAATTAACACTAAATACATTGTAATCTATCAACATTGCATCTAGAAGTAGATTCTTTCCAAAAAGTTAAAATGCAATTAGATGGTAAAATCCATAACTCTTTTAAATAAATATTAAGTCTTAACATAGTATTAATAGTTTTATACTTTCAAAATTTTCAAATTCCTATTAAGTAAATCATAAAATGAAATAAATAAATAAATATATGCAGATATTTTTAAAAAATTACGAAATTTAATTAAATTATTTCATGTAAATAATTTGTAGATATTTTATAGATAAAAAAAATACAACATTCAGAATGATATTATATTATCAAAGTTAGATGGATTATTTTATTGAAAACTTCTCTTGCTTGATTTTTAGATTTAGACTTTAATTTTTTTTATCAATTAAATATGATTATGATTTCTCTTCAAAGATTTTATGTTTTTGATGAAGAAAATCAGCAATTGGAGGTGTCTAACCACATTATCATTTCCACAGGGGAGGGGGAGGTTTATCTTGAGTTTTAAATGGTTTGAATAGGTTTAAGGGAGAGAGAACCCTTAATCTCTGATTTGGTATTGTTAAAATGCATCTGAAATTTATTTATTTGTTATGGTGATGTTGATGGTGAGAAAGTATGATATTTAATTAATTGTACTTTTGCTATGTTTGGAGAATAATAATATCTGAGGGGGAATGGTAGAAAATTCAGTTGATAAAAAAATATTAAAATTAAACGAGAATAAAAATAAAAAATAATTTAGATAAGTGAATAAGATTTAAAATGACTTAATGGACTTAGAATAATTTTTTTGGCAATTATAATAAGTTAACTAAATAAAAAAATTACTAACAACTTTAGAAATTAAGGAATGATGTAAGACTATTTAATATAAAATAAAAAGATTTATGATAACAAAAGGTGATACAAAAGTTGTATTAAAGTATTTGAAATTAATAGGATGAGAAGTTGAGAGCTCATAAGATTAGAATTAATAAAGGTAGAACCCTAGATGTGAAATTTTAAACTATTATTATCAAACAAATTGGTAGAAAAAAGAGTTAATAATTGTATTTGATTGTTAAATTAATTAGATATTAAAAAATGTTAGAGAAAAGAGAAATATTTATTATTATTTTTCATGTATAAATATTAAATTAAACTTTATAAATTTTTTTTCCAACAAGAGAAATGACAATAAAATATTATTAATTAATTTAATTTGGTGTTGAAACTAAATGATTTAATTTAATTAGTTAGTAATAAAAGAAAATAGGATAAAATGATTTTATTTTTAAATTTATTAGAATTAAACCATATTAAATTAAATCAGATCATTAAAATAAGCATTACTTTGTTTTTTTAATGCTTTAGAATTAAATTTTAATTTTAAATTACAATGTATTAGAAGAAAACAATTATTTAAAACTAAAAATTATGAAGAAGGTATGCATGGATTCTAATGATCGGGAAGATTTACTGAAAATTGCAAAAATATGATTAGTCACGAGTATACATTGATGCTTAGAAGTAGTATCTCAAGGCGTAAGAGTTATCATACATCATTTATGCATGTATAGACATATTTTAGGGAAAAACTACCCTTACTACGCTGTAGAATAACTAAGGGTTGGAATGGTAGTTGCCTAGGGACGTAGTTGGGCATAGGATGATACTCAGTTGGTTTGAACTAGCTACCTGGTGCCAGAGTGTTTTGCAAACATACAACTTTCAAGTTTTTGAATAGGTCTTAGTGTTAATACAGGTAGTAATTTGGGCTTAGATGGATTATGAGCTTCAAACTAAATTATACATAACTTCAAGTGATATGTTGATGGATTTCTTTATCTATGAATCAAACTAAAAAATATTGTGTTAAAGAATTTATAGTTAAGGTGCACATAAGTAAATAAAGAATTACTATAACTAAAAAGATATTAGAAAGTAGTTTCATACAATTTTAGAAAGCAGTTTAAATTATTCTAATAATATCTAAAATAGATGTCATTTAAAAAGCAATTTACATAACGCTTTTTAGAAGATGACTATGAATCTGAAATTTTAAAAAAAATTATAAATTTTTTATTATAAATCAAAATTAATTTATTATTATATTTTAATTTTAATTTGTATGTTTAACATTCAAATTATTTTTCTTTTTATTATAAATTAAAATTAATTTTTTTATCTTACGTTATGAAAGTTGAGTTTGTATGTTAGTCCTCTAATTATTTTATTTATTACTTATTCATTTCAAAAAGTATTGGATAAAGATAAATTGGGAGTTTGATGATGATATCATGCATGCGCGTTTTGAGGGGATAATTTATGCACTGTTTGACACCCAAGTCCTCTATCTTGCTTATTTCTTATGTTTGTTTTACTTACTATTGGCATTACTTTGAAGTGCCACCCGTTTTGATACCACAACCACCTGGAGTCAATGTTGTCATCTCTTCTCAGGAATCTCTCATGTCTCCAAATGCTAATAATAATCATATTCATTTGAACACTCCACCTCTAAGAATAACCAGATCAACTTCTGTAAGACCTTTTCCTCATCGAGATTGACCACTAGAGCTCGTAGGTATGAAAATGCCAAGTATATATATTGAGCTTAATTTGCATTGAAAAATGAATTCCACCATGACGAACCAGACGATGAGCATATGAAGAGGATCCTGAAGAGTTGACATGAAATAAATAGACGTGTTGTGTATATCTTTGATTATCACCCACAGACATATGAATATGAGTGATCTATATAATATTTTCTTAGAAATATTATAAAATAATTTAATTACAAAAATGATAATAATTAAAAGTAATAAGATTATTTCTTCCAATTATGAAAAATACTAATAATTATATGATAACTTTGCTACATAACAAGAGTTGTGTAAGTGTCTTTGGAGATTGAGTAGCAATGAGTGTTGATTTTAACTTCAAGGTTAATTCTAAAACGCGCCTACTTGCTGATATTTGGAGCCTGTATGCGCCACACACTTTGTGTACCCTCTATTGTTAGTCATCAAATATTTTTAAAAGATATCTTTTTTATTATCCATTAATTATTGATTTCATGTTTGCTTATTATCCACTGCTTACATAGTTTTATTTGCTCTATTTTTAGAGATTGAATGGCCATTACGATTGAATTGTTTTTATTGTCACCCATTGTTACTTGTAAAAGTGGTGCAATCGATTTTTGAAATCATGTTAATGTGATGCACAACATCTGGATTAGTAACATATTCTAAACTTGAGCTTTCAGATTGATTATGCATGATTCTGTAGCCTTTTAGGGGGTTCCTTTTTATTGATTTAGTCCATTACAAAGAGACTTTCGTTTA